AACCTTGACTCATGACTCCTCGGGGTGCCATGCTCATCAAGGGCCCTTGGAGACAGGAGGGCTCAGCTGGAGGCTCTGGAGCCCACCCAGGGAAGGGCCAGGGTCTTGGATGCTTCACCCTGTCTCCAGATCCCTGGGTGATCTCAGTGGGTGCAGCTCAGGGCCAAAATCCCACCCAGCTCAGCAAAACCCAAAAACTGACCTGTGCCTTTAAATCTAGCAGGGCTGGGGAGGGCCCAGCCCAGATTCCGAGGGTACAAACGCTTCTTACACAGCTTTGCACCCTGGGCTTCCTTCCTCCCTGGCCTCCACCCTCCACCCTGCTCTGCCCTTCGGTGGCCTTGGGCTGGCCCAGTCAGCCTTCCCCTCCCTTCCCGGAGAGGGGAATGAGTTCGTTTACATGGTACAAAGGCCAAAAGATACCACAGGTAGAGTGTAAAAAGCCCCCTCCCCCAGATTCAGCCAGTGACCCTGCTGGGTCTTCCAGAGACATTCTCCGAGATACACGTAAATGAGTGCGTTTTTCCTTTTCCACAAAAATGGCAGCCTACAGCTAACGCTGTATCTGATGGACTATGCCCATCAGGACTTAAAGAGCTTCTTCCTGTTTTTTCCCCATTTGCAGCCGCGTTCTGTCATGGTGTTTGCCTTGTGGGATGGAGACTCGTGACGCAAATGCCCAGTTCTCTAAGGGCCAGCACTTGAGTGTTTCCTGCCTACTGCAATGCAAGGACGGTGCTGTGTCGGATAATCCGTGAATGTGTCTGCAGGGAGAATGCGTGGACTCACACAGCCTGGGTTATTTTTGTATTTGTGTTATTTTGTGTTTTTGGTATTGGTTATTTGGGTAGATGTGTCAGAGGCTTCCATGAGGCTCATCCTAACCACATCCCCACTATAACGTGTCCGTGGGCCCATATAGTGTGATCAAACTCTTTGATCAACGATTTGTAAGGTTAAAAAAAAAAAGACACCTCGAGTCGTAGTAATTTGCATTTCTCTAAGATGGGAGGCTGAACCTCTTCCGGTCTAACATTTGCATATCCTTTTCCGGAACCCTCTGGCCATATTCTTCCATCGCTTTCTTTTGGAGAGTTGGTATTTTCCTACTGATTTGTAGGAGCACTTTATTATTAAGATCTTCATTTTTTTTATCTTAGTAAAATTAGCCCTTTGTGGTAAGAGTCACAAGAGTGTCGCCCTCCACCCTAGCTTAGGGCTTGGTTTTTTACTTTGCTTACGCTAGTGTTGCTCTTTGGAAAGTCTGGATTTCCACATGGTGGGATTTCTGTCTCGCCTCTGATGTCTTCAGGATTTCGTGTCATACTTAGAAAGGCCTTCCCTTCCCCAAGACTGAAAAAGTTTTCCAAGTTTTATTCTGTGACTTTTGTCCTTTCTTTTTGCTTAAATCTTTAAGCCATTTGCAATCCACCCTGGTTAGTCCCACTCACTGATATGGATCAAGTTCCCACGGGTGCACGGATGTTTTTCATCCTCACTTTTCGAACACACTCATAGCCGCTTTGTGGTTGAAGGACTAGGGGAGGCCCATCCTGGGGAGCCCAGCTCTGGGAGTCGGCAAGCCCTGCCCACGAGTGCAGGACAGGACTCCGCGGAATGGTGGGGGCGACTCAGCGGGGTCCCGGCTAGAGGCTGCGGCTTCTCCACGAGCGCCCAAGAGCTCTCCACATCTTACTCCGTCGTCCTCATGCCGGGGCGCGAGGCCCAGTGAACCCACAGGCCCTTCTGCCCCGTGGAATCGCAGCGCGCCCAGGAAGCCATCTGGGGTGCTCTTCTCTCGCATTTCCAGTGCGTTCCAATTCACGCCCTGCGCCCGGGTCTGTCCCACCTCCCCCTCCTTTCCACCTCCTCCGCGCGCACCGCGTGACCCTCCTTCCACTCCTGCCCTGCTCCCCCCAACCGCGCACCGGGTCGCGGGTCCTCGTCTCCTCCTCCCGCGTCCCCCTCTGACCCACTACCCCGGGTGCTCCCCTCCCACCCCACGCACCCCCACTTCTGCGCGCGCTCCCCGCCCGCCTCCACGTCCCTG